GGAAATCTTAGGGTCTGTTAGATGGGTATAATATCAATCACATACAGATTCTGGGAAGTTTAAATAAGATAAATTTGAAGTGATAAGCACAGAAATGGACACAGAGGGAAAGCTTTATAGAAGAGAGCTATTCTTACAATTATTAAAAATTACCACAATCATACCAGTACAGACAAAAGGGATTTCAATATTTTCAACAGTGGAAAAATTAATATTCAAAGAAACTTTAATTTTTGTTGTTGTTATGTGCCATCGAGTTGGATTAAAAAATAAAAAAAAAACTTTTATTTTTAATGATCTATCAACATGTTGTTGTTGTTGTTGTTATTTGCCATCGAGTCGGCCCCAACTCCTAGTGACCCCTCCTTGGGTTTCCGAGGCAGTTATCGCTACGGAAATAGGATTGCCCAACCTTCCTTCCGAGGAGTGGCTGGTGGGTTTGAACCGCCAGCCTCCTGGTTAGCAGTCAAGTGCCATAGGCACTATGCTACCAGGGCTCCCCTATCAACATAGAGCTCATTATATAAGTCTTCTCAATTACACCATAGGTGCCATGGTAGCACAGTGGCTGAAGCACACAGCTGATAATAAAAAAGTTGGTGGTTTGAACCCACCAGCGCTCTATGGGAGAAAGATGCAGCAGTCTGCTTCCATAAAGATTTACAATCTTGGAAACCCTCTGGGGCGTTCTACTTTGTCCTACAGGGTCACTACTAATCAGAATTGACTCAATGGCAGTGGGTTTGGTAATTACAACATAACGATCCAAAAAGACCAAAACTGTCCACAAACTTTTAATTAAAGAAAATCACTTCAACTTGACACAGCACAGTTCATTATTTTACTGTAAAGTTTTTTCCCATCTTCCTAACACTCCAAGAAGTCCCCAACCACAGTCAAAGAGAAAAGGGGCAAAATAGGGGGGAAGCCCCAATGAATTAAAGTGGGAAAATTATATGATATGATGCTATTTTATATTTTCAAAAAATAAATCTGACTTACAATCTAAAGTATTAAACACCACTAAAAGCTCGATGACAAGTAATAGGTAGTTTATCATATATTTTGAACCCTATGAATTAAAATTTAATTGTTTAAAGTATTTTTTTGTAATAGTTTTAGAATATACAATTAAAATAAATGCAAAAAATTATTAGTATAAATCTCAGAAGATAAAATTTTATATTTTAAAACACAGCTTCATACTCCAAACTTAAGTGGCTTTATATAAAGCACTGGTCTTTGTGATTCACAAAAGGCAGTTGCAATTCCTTCACATGAAATGAAGTGACAGCTCCTCTCAAAGCTATTATATCCCTGAGTATGAGCCCTGATCTAATAATCTGTCTTCATTAATTCCTTTTCATTTCACCTTTGTGAAAGAAGGGAGGGAGCAGATGGGGAAGAGGGCTAGGCATGTCTACTTTGTTTTGTAGCATCTAGTCCAGCGATAGGAACAAAATATGAAAGTGTTCATAAGAGCCCAAAAAAGTCCAAATGAAGAAAACTAACGCCTTAATGTATATTAAGTGCTTGGCTACTAACTGAAAGGTTGATGGTCTAAAGCTACCCAGAAACGCCTTAGGAAAAAGCTCTGGCAACCTAATTTCAAAAGATCACAGCCATTGTGTGCAGTTCTACTCTGAAACACATGGAAGTCAAAAGTTACTCAGCTGCAACTGGACTGGTAACCTATTATGACATATATGTGGGGAAAATTAATTTCTGAACATCTATGCCATATGTGATACACTGTACATTATTGTTATGTACAGTGATGACATAAGCAGATTCTGAAACAAACTTACTGGGTTTGAATCTTAGCTCAATTTATCAGCTGGGTGACCTGGGCAAGTTACAGGTGTATCTCTGAGATACTCGGAGTTCGGTTCCAGACTACTGCAATAGAGCAAATATCATAATAAGGTGAATCACACCAATTTTTTGGTTTCCCCCTGCATATAAAAGTTATGTTTACACTATACTGTAGGTCTATTAAATGTGCAATGGCATTACAAAAAAGTCTGAAATACTGTGAGAACCAAAACGTGACAAAGGCATGAAGTAAGCATGAAGTGTATTTGTATGCTTTTGGAAATACGGCACTAACAGACTTGCTCAACACAGGGTAGCCAAAAACCTTCAATTAAAAATAAAAAATTATCTGTGAAATGCAAGAAAGCAAAGCACAATAAAACAAGGTATGCCTATACTTTACCTCTCTTTGCCTCAGTTTCCTCATCTCTACAATTGTTCATAAGATTGTTGTACAGATTAAATAAGACACAAAGACACTTAAAAAAGGACTCACACATAGGATGTACACAATAAATATTAGCTTTCATTATTATTACAGAGGCAATAGAAACACAATGGCTTAATTAAAGAAATTTGCATTGAGAAATAGTTAAGTAGAGTTCCAAAATTCTTGTGTAAACTCATTTATATCAACTGCTAAAGGTGTATATTTAGATTCAAGCATTTACTGAAGTATAAATGTTGTGATCTCTAATAGAATTTTGGAGACTACAGAGAGCCTCTTCATGCCCTTCTCCTATACCATCCATCATCTCCCTTGGACCTTAATTCCTCAGACCTTAATCTTATCAATTAAACCCCTTCAATGAATTGATTTTTTTAGTGCTTAAAGACACACAAAAAGCAAAGTATTCTAAGTTCAGCAAAGCAATTACAACTATAAAAGCACATTAAATTGCTCTTACTTCAGAGTAAGAAAAAACTCTTCCTAACAAAATGGTGAATTAGAGTAGATGGAGGGTCAAAATAGGAGTCTTAGTGGCACAGTGGTTAAAGTGCTCTATTACCAAGCAAAAGGTCGAAGGTCGGTGGTTTAAATCCACTAGCCACTCCATGGGAGCAAGATGTGACAGTCAACGTCTGTACAGATTGACAGCCTTGAAAACCCTGTGGGGCAGTTCTCTCTCCTACCGGCTCACTATGAGTTGGAACTGACTCAGTGGCAGTGGGTTTAGTTTTGGTTTGGTGGGTATTTTTGTGCTGCTGTAACAAATACCACAAATTGATGGCTTTAACAAACAAATTTATTCTCTCACAATTTAGGTGGCTAGAAGTCCAAATTCAGGGAGCCAACTCTAAGGGAAGGCGCTCTCTCTCTCTCTCTCTGATGGCCCTGGGGGAAAGTGGTTTTCTCCTTTCAACATCTGTTGAACCTAGTGTCCCTTGAAGATCTCCATGTTTCTTGGCATCAATCTTCCCCTGGCTCTAGGAAGTTCTCAGCACAGGGACCTTGGCTTTTCTCTCTTGGTATTAGTAGGTCATTCAATCTCTGTTCATTTCTCTCTCCTTTTATCGCTTATGAAATAAAAGGTGATGCAGACCACACACCAGGGAAACTCCCCTTACATTAGCTAAAGAGTGTGAACTGCATCCCATCCTAATCCCCAACTGATTAGCTGATCACATCAGATCACATCATGATTACATCATTACATAACTGCCAAACCACACAGACTCATGGCCCAGCCAAGTTGATCAACATTTTAGGGGGCACAATTCAATCTATGACAGTGGGTCAAAATGGAATAGATGGATAAATGAGAAAAAATGAAAATGGACAAGAGAAATAATGAGAATTCAGAGATGTGTGGAAATTTAACTCCTGGATATTCTTCCTTTCTCTTTGCTATAATTGCAAGGGCTTTTCTAATGTACAACATACGTAAGTAAATCAATGCAGTATTTTAAATACCTTGATTTTTGTAAAATTCATTCTCTGAATCTTGACAGCCCTATAAATTTCTCCCTTTAAAACAGCTCAGAATTAAAAAGCAGCATTCACTTGAGTTGCTTTTCCAAAGTCAATGAGACATAGACCATCCACCATCTCTTACCACTACCAGATCACCCTTAGTTATTTACAAAAGACAGGGCCAGTGTTCTAAATGGCAGATTTTTTTCTCCAAAATACCAACTGTCACTTGGGGAGCATGCTACATTCTCAGCTATCAGCACTTTCACTAACCCCTGCAAATAAGGAAAACACCTCCACTGAATTACTCATTGTAAAAATAGCCTGTTTCTTAAAACTAAGCATTTCCTTATCACCTATTCACCCACCGCTATTGCTCCCCCTGCCTACATACACACTCAAATATTTTATACCAAAGGTGTGCCCCTAAGCAGGGTGTCCACATCCTCTCTTTTTTTACACCCCTTCTTTTTTGAGGCCTCTGGAAAAAACATATCTTTGGATGGCAATTCCCTGAACCTTGGCTATTCAAGTTGACACCTATTAAAAAGGCAGGTGAATCTTCAAGTAAGGTTTTTAAAACCAGTTTAGTAAGGGCCAGGAGGTATACCCACTCACCCTCAAGTTTCTTAAACAAAGATAATAGTTTCTTAAGACGTTTACAATGCCTTATTAAATCCCTTAGTGAGGATGCTGCACTCGGGAAAAGCCTTCAGCTTAACGCCCACATTTGGGGGCGGAGGAGGTAAGGGGGGTGACTCTCCAAAATTACAAATTAAAATTTCTACGTGACAATAAAACCTGTCAGAATGATGAATTTGAAGACATGCCTATTATATTGCTCATATATAGAAACAAGACTAGAAATATACAGCCTGTCATAGAGGGTAAATATGAATACATTCATTGAAATATATTCATGTATTTATTTGTATTTTTTAAACCACACCCTCCCTGGATACCTTCCCAGGCTCCCCTGGGCCAAGTGGTCAGCGTTACGCCGTGCGGGCGCCCACTGGGTGGGGGCTCAAACATTCAACAGCAGAGACCCCTGTGTCGCGGCAGCCCAGGGGAAAGCGGGCGCTCCAGGTGCACCCCGGGACCCCCCTTCCCCTGGCCCGCCCATCCCTGTCCCGCAGTCCCGAAGGCCGCGGTCGTGCCTCCTGGCGACCCCAGTGCCGCCCGCCCTGCCCTGAGGTGGGCCGCGAGAAGATGCGGCTCGGGCAGAGAAAGGCGGGGTGGTTAAAGAGGACGCCAGCCCCAAACTCACCATGGCCGAAAAGTCGCGAACGCGCCCACAGCCCGGAATCACACGGGGCCGGCGACGCCCGTTGTCCTGGTGACGCCAGCCAGGCGCCCCGCCCCGTCCCCAAGGTGGGCTCGGAGGCGGCCATTGGCAGCCGGTAAACACGTGATCTTGGGGGTGGTGCCCTTTGGCCACCCCGCCCCTGACTCTTAGGCGGGGCCTCCTCGCCTCTTCATTTTATCTGAACTATCCTCACCTTGGTCACCTTGACGCCCCTCTCCAGGCAGATGACCAAGTTGGAAAACTCCAGCTGCAAGTAATCTTAATGGATTTTCTTTATTTAAAAAGCAGGTTATACATGTGAATCTTTTGATTATTTTTTATATTTTTGACTATGAAGACACTTTTTAAACAACCAATAACAAAAGAATTTTAAAAAATAAAACCACTCTAAATCCAAGCAGCTGACATAACCATGGCTCATATTCTAACCTGCTTCAAATTTCCAATGCAAATACCTATTATACTGCAATATAGTCTTTACAATGGGGGCAAATCATACACATTATTTTATAATTTATTATTGGCAGTCTGTTCAGTAAAGATTCACAGCCTTGAAAACCCTATGGGGCAGTTGTACTCTGTCCTATAGTGATGCTGTAAGTCAGAATCAACTCAAAGGCAATGGATTTGGTTTTTCCCATTAAAATAATTATTTTTGTCATCCATTTACTAAAGCAAGGAGTAATTTGTTGGATTTTTCTAATATAATTGAAAGGAATTTACAATCTCCTCAAATCCAGCCCACTATTTTGATAAAAGGGAAACTTCTCTACCTTAGCTTCCTCCCATTCCCAGGACTTATTCATTAATTTCCACGCCATGTTTAAGACATGTCTCTTTTCTCACCACCTAATTATCTGCCAATTTGTGGTAGTAAATTTCACCTGTACCCTCATTTACGTATTTTGCCCTGCACTTCATAACCAACACCTAACTTGACATCTCCCTATGAATGTTTGATAAATCAAAACTCACTGCAATCAAGTGATACCAACCTCATCTTTTTCCCACAGAGCAGCTGGTGGGTTTGAAACTTTTGGTTAGCAGCCAAATGCCTTAACCACTACACCACCAGAATGTTTCAAAGGCATCTCAAACTTGTGGTTGTTGTTACGTGCCACCGTGTGGGACCTGACTCATAGCAAGCCCACCTTGGGTTTCCGAGGCGGTATCACTATGGAAGTAGATTGCCCCATCCTCCTTCCGAGGAGTGGCTGGTGGGTTTGAACTGCCAGCCTTCTGGTTAGCAGTCTAGTGCTTTAGGCACTATGCTACCAGAGCTTCCATCTCAAGTTTCTTACCTCCCATTTTCCTTATCTCAGTAAAGGTTTTCACTGACCTCTCAGTTGTTCGGGACAAAAACTTAGAAATCACCCTTGATTTCTCTCCTTTCTTCATATCTTGCATCCAATCTATTAATAAATATTTTGGACTCTTGGGTCTACCTTAAAATAAATCTTGAATCTATCCACTTGTCACTACCTCCACCTTACAGCCACCATCATCTCTTGCCTAAAACTAGTGTCCATACTATCTGTCTTCTCTCTTACACTCTATATAACAGTAGTGTTTCAGTGGCTTCTCATGACTTTTAAGAAAAATTCCAAAATCCTTCCCATGGTCCTTTGTGACAAGGACCTTGCTGACCACACTAACTTTATTTGTAATACTCTTCCCTCATTCACTCCATGCTAGCCACAATTTAGTTTTTGAGCTTCCTCTAACATCCCAAAGCACATGGCTGCTTAAGGGCCTCAGCTACAACTGTTTCCTTTATTGGCAATATTTTTCCTTCACAACTTCACACAACCCATTCTCTCCTTTGATACAGGTCAGTTATCTCCTCAAATGCCATATCTTCCCATAAGCCTTTATTGACCCTTCAATATAAAATATCTCACTCCAGTCACCTTCTCACATATAATTCTGTCTTGTTTTCAAAATATTTAGCCCTCCTTGAACTTTTATTTTTTGTTAGTTACTTACTATCTGTCTCCTTCTATCCCCCCCCCGCCCCCTGCCGAATGCAAGTTCCAGGTAAGCATGGACTTTGTCTGTCTTGTTCCATCTCTGTATTACTGTATAAACTGTATAAAATAGTTCCTGGAACATAATGTGTGTCTTAGTTCTCCAGTGCCACTGTAACAGAAATACAAGTGGATGGTTATAACAAAAAGGAATTTATTCTTGTACAGTTGAGGAGGCTAGAAGTCTGAGTTCAGAGTGCTGACTCTAGGGGATGGGTGGAGGACCCTCAACCTCGGGCTACAGTTCTGCCCCTTATTCCAGGCCCACTGGAGCTGGATGCGTCTCCTAGTTCATCCAGCTGCTGGCTGGCGAGGCTGATGAACCCAAGATCAGCAAGCAGAATGGCACAATCCCCAAATCAACAGGTGGCATGGCAGGACACTGCTTCAGCTTCAAAAACCAGAGATGGTGATGAGCTAGATGCAAGACAAAGATCCAGCAGAAAGCCAGAGACTGTTCCTAGGCCACATCCCTGAGGAAACTCTCTTTCTACTGAGTGGGTGCTCATAGAACACCTCATCATGGAGGTGATTATATTACAATTGACTAAACCACTTAGAATTACAGTCCAGCCAAGTTGTCACACAACCTTAAATATCACAGTGTATAATCAAGAAATATTGATGATTGGTTGAATGACTCAATCAAAGAATGAATGAACATCTGGCCTAGGACTAGATGTTCTATTTGAGGATAAAAGTGAGAATGGGATGGAACTCCTGAAACTATGTTCCTTAATCACCCTGACTGAACTCACACCTCAACTTTTAGCCAAACAATAGATAGGTCTATAAGGTGAACAAAAAACACCAGGAAGGCATACGCTTCTTAGAACAACCAAACATAAGAGATCAAAAGGACAGCATTTGCCCAGGGTAAACCTCCAGGGCCAGGAATGGGTAGGAAAGGACAAAAGGAAATGGCACACAGAGGAAGTGGGAAGAGTGCTATTACATTGTGGACATTGTACTCAATGTTGCAAAGCAAAATATATATGAATTGTTGAATGGAAAAACCAATTAACTCTCCAAACTTTCATCCAAATCACAATAGAAATAAAAAAAAAAGAACAGGACCTGTTAGAGTGTAAGAGAAGAATACTGTAATTACTGACAGCTCTTATTTTTTTTATAATTTTTATTTTAAGATATACAAAAAAGTAACAACATATAAATATACTATTCAAAAAATAAAATATAAATGCACTGTTTTTTAACTAGCCAATTCAAAATACAGAACATCACCAACAACACGGAAGCTACTTGTGTGTCCTTTGCCAATTTTAGATGCTTCCCTTTCCTCCTACAAATGATAATTATTTTTATATTTATTGAAATCATGTTTTCCATTTCTTTGTAATTTTTATATTTCATTAATTTATATTTCCATAAAGTAGTCCACCTAATGAATATACAAAGATACATATTTACTCATTCTACTTTTGATGGATATTTGAGTCATTTGGTTGTTTCCTCTTTAGGGCTGTTATAAACAACACAGCTATGAACATTCCCTAATGCATGTGGTGTGGTTTCTCATTTCTCTAAATCAGGGTTTTTTAACCTCAGTACTTGTATCACTTAGGGCCAGATAATTTTTTGTTGTAAGGGGCTGTCTGTGCATTGTAGGATGTATAGCAGCATCCATGGCCTCTATCCACTAAATGATAGTAGCATGTCCCCAGTTGTGACAACCACAATGGTTCCAGGCATTGTTGCCTGGGGGTCAAAATTGTCCCAGTAGCAAACCACTTCTCTAGGATGTATAAAGAGGAATAAAATTGCCAGTTTTTATATCTTCATAGCTGCTACATAATTCTATTTTCCAAAGTAGCTGTAGCTACTAACATTCCTACCAGTAATTTATGAGTTTCTGGTATTCCATGTTCTTGCCAACACTTGTTTCAGATTTTTAAGTTTTTATCATTTAAGTAAGTATGTAATATATTATCATGTGAATTTAGTTGGCATTTACCTGATTACTAATAAAATTGACATATTTGTTGGTGTTTTTAAAATTTCCTCTTTTATAAAAGGCCTGTAGAGATCTGCATACTACACTACTCAGTTTTTGTTTGCTGTATATAGGAGCTTTTATATATCATGGCAATGAGCTCTTTTTCAGTTTTTTATATCTACAAATCTATTCTCCCACAGTGTTCCTTCTCTTTTCACTTCAATCAAGTGCTTGGGTCTATTTTTAGGTTCTCTATTCTATTCTAATTTTTGTGTGTGTGTGTGTCTATCCTTATGCCAATCACACATTATTTAAATTACTATGTTGTTGTTAGATGCCCTCAGTCAGTTCTGACTTGTAGTGACCCTATTTACAACAGAAAGAAACACTACTGCCGGGTCCTGCACGATTGTCACAGTATTTGCTAAGTTTGTGCCTGTTGTGGCAGCCACTGTATACCTTTAGAATAGTTCTTGATCCTTGGTAGAACAACTCCTTCTATACACTTTTTCATCATCATTGTATCATTATATATAACCTTTTTGACATCCGTGTAAATTTTAGAATTACCTTGTCAAGTTAAACAACAACATCAACAAAACAGTCTTTTTTAGTATTTTAGTATAACCTACAAATAAGTTTGATTAGTACTGACATCTTTATATATTGACTCAATATATTTAAGCTTTTTAAACATAGCTGCATATATTAATTTATGTCTTCATTATTTAAGCTTTCTTTGTTGTTGTTAGGTGCTGTCAAAACACTATGAGTTCAGGCTCATAGTGACCTCATGCACAACAGAACAAAATGCTACCCGGTCCTGCACCTTCCTCACAATCATTGCTATGTTTAAGCCCATTGCTGAAGCCGCTGTATCAATCAGTCTTGTTGAAGGTCTTCCTCTTTTTCAATGACCCTCTACTATACTAAGCGTGATATCCTTCTCCAAAGACTGGTCTCTCCTAGTAATATGTTCAAAGTATGGGAGATGAAGTCTTGCTATCTTCACTTCAAAGGAGCATTCTACCTGTATTTCCTCCTA